ATTATATTAATTTCATTTATATATTTACAGTTGGATATCCGCACTGGAATACTCCATAGATCGTTGGATCAAGTCTGGGTAACTAAGGATTAAGACACGCTCCCGTTCGGCGCTCAGCAGTCGACGCAAGCGTCGCAGTTTTAGCTACTACATGGATTAGCTAACGTCTGGGCGGGGCGGGTGGCAACATTAGTACGGGTACTAGGTACTACCAAAAACTAGCTCATAAGCACATACAAACACGATGTAGAAGAGGAAGAAGAACAAATTATATAGAAAATAGTCCAGAGTTTTTTATAGTTAGTAAGGACGAGGAATTAGCGAAGTCAGGCGAATCGGGTTTAAAACTATTTTGAAGTGCGCATACCTGAAGGTGTGTATTCTTGTTATATATACATATATAATTATATTAGCTTATAGCCTATGTTTAGTGAGGTTGTCTTGTTATACACACACATAGAAACACATACACATGCATATATAGCATATATAGTAAACTTAGATATTGTACAACAAAAAGAAGATTCATTAGGCTTAATTAAATTGAAATACTTAGGTATTCAAAGGCTCAACCATATATATAGATACATAGATACTTATATATATATCGGATATCCATTTTAGACGGGTATCTAAAACAGTGAGATAATATTTACAAGATTGAAAGCAACAACTTTTGTCAAAAGCAAAGACGAAACTAAAAAAATATTATAAAAATTCATGACCAATTTCAGAATCATCCTATAATAGTAAATTTATCATCAAATCTCTTAATAATGCAATATATATAGATATTGGCTGTACCAGAAAGGTTTAATATATGTCTCAGTTCCGTTTTAAATTAGCGAAAATGAAAATATGAAATTTATACAAGTGAAAACGGTTTGCAAATTAAGAAAAGTTTTATTAGTTAGACACAAGTTTTATTATGATATTATAATTGAATAGGTTTTTTATGAAACATTGATAGACTTGGGTTACGCATATGTATATTCTGTTCTGTTGTTGGGGATTGCCAGCAGGTTTTCGTGGCTATAGGAAAAATATGGCAAATGCTTTATGAGTACGTTGAATACTTAACAATCCAGTAGTTACTTTTGTCATATATGCGAATATATGAACATATATGATCTTAGACGTGCGCTGATTTCCCTTCTTTTGTGGATCGGTGTTGGCATATTGAAATACAACAAATTTTTTGTTAGTGTTAAAAACACACACATGCACACACTGACATACACACACACACACATGTATATATTTTATATTTTTAAATAGAGTTTTCCAATCAATGAGTGTGCTAATTCGTTTAGATAATACTTTTTTAGTATACCGTATATACATATATACACAAATATATATACAGAAGAGTGGACAGCCAGCAGACCATTATTGAATATTAACAAAAAATACTAAAAAAAAAATACAAAAAAAAAAACCATACATATATAATGAAAAACACTAAATAAGAGCTTTAATTATTAAATAAAGAATACACCATTGAAACAAAAATTGTTTTTAATTCTGATACTTGTAACCGAAGTATAATCTTTAGGATTCGATTGAATTGATGACTGGGTTAATGGTTGACTGATTGACTATCTGATTGACTGGTTTACTAATTAGCAGTGTTTGTATGGTTCACAGTCTGAGTGACTGATTGATTACTGATTCATTGAATGATTGCTTGATTAATTGCTATTAATTAACAATGATTGAAGCAGGAATGATATCTTAGTGATCGACTAACATTTTCAACTCCTGACTGACTTTTTAACTGGCAGATTCATAACATAACTGACTGACTGATACAATAACTAATTGGCTGATTGACCGACTGAAAGATGGGTGATCAATTCATGGCTTTAAAATATTAGTGTCACAACTCGGCCCCCCAAATACAAGATTAAGAGCTCAATTCAATTCACCCACACATGTTGGAAGAGAAATGTTAATCTGGATTAAAGTAAAATATCAAAACGTCAAACTCATACTATAAGAAACTAATTCAGATAAACGTAATCTGTACTTTCATTGTATAGTTTAACAAGTTTCAAAACAAATACTTTTTGTAGGATAATATAGCAGAGCTAGTCGAATGAGAATTATCATTCCAAATTTATAAAGACTATCCCAAGAGCTAATGACAAATGTACAAATTGTGTATTGCCGACAGCCTGAGGGCATTGAAAATGCGTCTAAACATCATTAATTAGGCTCAATGATGCAACGAACTCTGCGATCTACTACCTGCAGCATGCAGCATGCAGCAGCCGATGCTGCCACACCCCCGCGGGGCACAATCCGTCAGGCTGAAGCGAAAAACGAAGCATTTCGAATGCGATCAATGAACCTGTCAGCCCGACGACTCTCGACGCTCAACGCATCGCTAGCTCCATGCTCTACACAAATTTTGAGTAATTTATTTGGGATCGTAAAGAGCTGCAAAATATGCACACACGGCAGCCGGCATCGAGCGGCGAACGACTAGCATAACAATTCGCTCGCCCTATGAGACTGCTACCGTTTTTTTTTTTTTTGGTTTTTTGTTTCTTTCGTGTGTGTCTTTGTGGCCCTGTCTATGCCCCCGCCCCTGGCTCGAGCAAGGTGTCTATTCTCTACCTTGTGCTACATGCAACTACTTGCCGCTGTTCTTCGATTCGAGTCACGGCGTTGACAACAACAACAACAACAATTTAGTTCCACTGTGCAGCCCATGCCACTGCCTTAATTATCGCTTCTTTTCTCAGTCAGTGCCTGAGCCTTTCTTTGTAATTCGTTTGCTTGCTTCTTATTCTTTAGTTGTTGTCCTCTTCTTGTTCTGGCTTTTCTTTCTGCTACTTTTTGAAACAGTCGGTGGTGCTTCATCATCAAGAGCATCTTGGCCATCATCAGCATCGTCATCAGCAGCATCATCATCAGGGCGTTTTCCTCAACCGTAACTCCCTTCTCGCTAACTCTCTCATTCTCTATGTCTGTCTTTCTCTCTCGCCCTCACTCTTTCTTTCTCTCTGTTACCACAAGCACTGCAGTGGCAGCTCGACTAAGACCCTGACTGTGTTATTTTATTTCCTCTTAATACTTAGCCGCATACATTTTGTTGTTTTTCATGTGCGGGAGAAAAGGTTGCCAGACTGTTGAAGCTTCATCAACCTGTTGAAAATTGAGAATACTAGATATCTATATCTTAAATTTAAATATATATAACTAAAATCAAAGAATAAATAAATACTAAATTATCGAAATATCGAAATATATGGGAAAAATATATAATTTTATTTAGTTTAAATTAAGTCTATAAATATATGAAGCCAGTCTTTCAGATCATGAAACAACGACAATTCTTGCCTCAGTCAATGAGTAATCCATAAACTATTAATAGTTTAATAATACCAATATTACATTGTTAATGCATAAATTCTTAGGCAATTGGACAATTCATCAAATTTACAGCAAAACCCTGAACTAATGATTTATTTATTTATCTTATCATTATCTCCAAGTTCTTTTTTGGGCCATAAAACTAATGTAATATTAACCAAGATATAATTTCTCATACCACTTGTGTTATCTATTTATTTATCTTATCTTTCTTGTCAGCTCTTCGAGTGTATTTAAATCCCCTTTAAAGTACTTCAACTGACACCGTATAGCCAATAATACGAATATGGTATTGACAAATATTATTTTATAAATACTTATACTTATACGAAACTTGCAATGCTGCTCTACTTCTCTCAAATGATACCCTACTCTGCTATATAGTACGTGTAGGCAGGTTATACTTATACAAAAAGCCGCAAGCGGCCACCGCAGTTACTCCCGCGCTGATTGGAAGCGGACCAGAGCGGAGCGGGGCTGAGCTGTGTTCGGCTGGCTGAATGCAGTCTGGCAACCCGCGCGCTTGCGCTCCTCTACCCTCGCAAACGGTAAGCAGTCGGTAAACAGGTAGCTCTCTAACTGACAATAACTCGTCGTACGTATGCACGTTCCGTGTCTGTCTCTCTGTCTTTGTCTGTCTGTCTCTCYGTCCATCTGTCCGCTGAGTGGGGCTGTCTGTCCGCAGCGTGCGACTGGCGGTCGGTTAGTTTGCTTGGCTTGCCAGTTGCTCTTGTTGTTGYTGCTGAGGTTTTCTTACTTGACTGCTTCTCTCTCGCTCGTTGTGGTGCGCTCTCTCGTCCAGGTCTCTCCCATTCAGCTGTCTCTCCTGCTCTCTCTCTTTGCATGAGCCACGACGACGACTGCGCGTTCGGCAATGTTGGATTAGTCTTCGAGAGTTGATCGTAGTAGACGCACCTGCGCGCGGATCGTGCATCGTAGAACACACAGTGCAATTGTGTACGTATATAAGACTCTGTGTGTGTGTGCGTGTGTCTGAATGTGTGACAGAGTATGGGTGCGTGTGTTTGTGTGCTGTGCATTAGTGGGGGAAAAATGCAGGCACAGTGAACTTGCTACAGCGTCGCCAACGCCGCGTCTCCCGCTCACCGTCGCTCGGCTGAAAAGCGCTTTTCAGTGGCGTGTCGTCGCGCGCGCGCATCTGTATGTGTGTGTGTGTGTGAGTGTGAGTGTGCGTGGTTGTCGGAGTGTGTGTGCGTGTGTGGGTAGAGTTTGGGACTACTTGAGGAGCGAATTGGTAGCTGCACTGGCTTCAGCTCCTATTTCAAACAAAATGTAGAAAAACACATTTCAGCTGCCGTATCTCGTTTGTTGCTTGGCTCGTTCGTGCGTTCGCTCGTTCGCTTCGTGTTCGACTTCGGCTTTAGCTACAGCTTCGCCTTCGGTTCGTTTCGCTTGGCTTGTCGGCTCAATCGTGTGCTTTCGTACGTGGTTTGCTTTTGTTTTTGGCTGTGTGTTTTTTGTTGTTGCCTTCTACGTGGTTTGTGGTAGCCGCTGCCGCTGCTGCTGCCGTTGCTGCTGCTGCTGCTGCTGCTGTTGCTGTTGCTCCCGTTACACCCGCGACCGCGCGCGACTGATCGTGCCGTGATTGTGTCGCGCATACAGCTGTAGATACATTTGTATCTTTATATGTGTATGCGTGTGTGTGTCTGTGTGAACTGTGCTGCGTGTATCTAAACTCAATGAATATATTTTGCAAGCCCGACATGTTATCTAAACTTCCAAATCTTATGAATATATATACATACCTACATATATATGCATATATCTAATATCCAAATATCGTTTGCTTCTAGAAATCATCAGAAAAAGTTCAAACACAAAAGTGCCCAACGAAAGATAAAATAAAGCGAGAAAATAAAAACTAAATAAACTAAAACTTGTTCCAAAAAAGATCTGAAAATACCTGGAATATACTGGCCAAGCCGAGCTTGAAAGAGCCTCAGGCGCTCTTCGCACAGCCATCAAAATTGTTTACAGGTAAGCAATACGCCCCGGGCAGCGGGCAACACCCCCTACAAAAAGACACACGAAATGTTCCAAAAGAAAGAAGTAGAAAAAACAAGCTCCAAAGATTCCACTACAAAATTCCGCAGCTGAAATTTTTGTTTTTTTTTTTTAGGGTCTAGCTAATTATTTTCTTTTGATTTTCGCTATGGCCAAAAGCAAATCACAGCGAGTAGCGAGTGGGCTCTAAGAGAGCGAACGGCAAAGAGGGAGAGAGAGAGAGACTGAGAGGGAGAGAGAGAGACTCAACTATAGCGAGTAGCAAAGTAAATAAAAAACAACGACGTTGACTACTAAAACCTGCTCCAAGCACACACACATACATATATATATACGCATACACACACAGACATACACATACACACATTTGTAAGTCAACGTTGGAGGCTCCGCCACAGTTGGCGGTTTTTGGGCGACTGGCGGCGGCTTCCACTACAACTGCATGTGCCACTGTCATTGCCACCGAACTCAGTGTGGTGCCTGCCTGCCTGCCTTACTGCCTGCCCGACTGCCTGACTGCCTGCCTGGGCTGCGTTCCATTGACAGGCGGCCTGGCGCTCGACTCTGGCTGGGCTCCAGCTCGAAGGTTTTTAGCTTGGAATTTTTTTTCCATTTTTATTTCTCATTTTTTACTGACTTTTGTTGTTGTTGTCTGTAAACCAGTTCACTTGTAGCCAGTGCCAGTGGCCAGTGGGCTCTCAGCCTGGGTTTCAGCAGCTCTCGTCGTGCTCAATTTGAATCCGGTTTTTTTTTTTTTTTTTGACTTGGTCGACGTCGTCGTCTTGGCCGTTGCCAGCTTGGCTTGCCGCGCGCTTTAATTGTTCAGAACGTGTCCAAAGAGGAAACGCAATTGCCGCAAGCTTCTGTTGAAGCTTGGGGTTTGAGGTTTGGGGTTTGGGGTTTGGGGTACCCTCTACCATCATCATTGCCATCATCTAGCTCTTGCATCTACATCGCTCCAGCATCTTTCCTTTGATTTCTTTTAAATGCTTTAGTTATAGTTTTTTCTTCTTCTTTTTCGAAAAAACGCCTCCCGCGCTCTCACAGTGTTTCAGTTTTTCTTTGGCTGGAACTATTCGGGCTCCATTCGGTTGGTCTCTATAGAGCCATTGGCTTTTGTCTCGCTCGACTGGAGCCGAACTGAATTTTCATCATTGTTTGTTTATAGCCAATTCGGTTTGTGCTTTCGGTTCCTACATTTTAGCATAAGAATAGGTTCATAAAAATTTATTGCATTCGGTGTGTTTCTGGGTGGCTTTTTATACTCATTCACGAAAGTGAATCAGTATATTGGTTTTGTGCAATGTCCGTCTTGCTGTCCGTCCGTCTGTCCGTCTGTCCGTCTGTCCGTCCGTCCGTCTGTCCGTATGAACGCAATCTATTTCGGCGCTATTGAAGCTAGAGACTTGAAATTTGGAACACATACTCGTGTATATCTCCGATTTATAAAGTGTTAAAATTTTCCCGATCCGCCCACTAGGGGCGTGGCAAATCGGAAAATGCATTTTCCGATATACCAGAAATCATGTTTGTTGAAGAGCTAGAAAGCTGAAA